GAGATTAACAGGATAATGTCCTTTGGAAGGAAAATGTGATATTTTTGCCTTGAATTTTTATCTGAAAAACAAAAGCACATAAAATATGTACAAATAAAATATTTTCCTTCACAAAGATTGAAACATTAAACTGAATAGTAATCTGAATATGATATAAAAATGATTCAAATATTTATATTACAATAAAAAAAAAAGAAACATTTTTATGATTAAGAGTTTTATATAAACACACAAAACAGATTCAACTGAAATAAATTGATGATTTCAACTTCCATGACAACATATTTTCATTAATCTCTGCCCACTGTGAATTATCTTCATTTTCTTCTTTCATTGTTGTTACCACAAACAATTCAATGATGAGCAATTTTTTGTCTTGTTTCTTCTGCTTCAACTTTTTCTAGAAAGAACTAAAATAGATGTTAAAAAAATAACATTAGTGGAGGATTTGGACAGAATTTTAGACCATTTTCTTCTTTGGTATTTGTGGTTTTCTATACAAACATATATATAAATTCTAAAACATTAAAATTACATTTGATCCTTCTCTTTAATGAAGCTATTTTCTTTTACTTAAAATATAACTACTGTTCTTTTTCAGGATGAAATTTATTTATATTCATTTTTATTTATTTTGTTGGTTTCAATCTAAGAAATGATCACTAAAACCATCCCCTCAAATTTATACACAAATCATACAGACATGTGCTGGAATATCTTCCTAACCAATAAGATAGGCCACTTCCCAGTCTCATCTGGCATATTTTTGTTCTTTCTTGTCTTGAAGTCAGAATGTTACAAACACTTATCTGTATCCCATTTGAGTGTTAACACCATCTGTACTTTGTGAACTTTTTACCTTATTAATGTTGCTTTGCTTACTTTTGTCTTGCATTATATATTGTTTACTTCATATCATTTTGACCTGTTCTTTTTCTTTCTTTTCTTATCGTTTGTTGGAAAATTTGTCAATTCCGCATTTTTTCCAAATGTGACAGAGAGAGTTTGGGAAACATACACACACGTATATTTTTTTAGTGATATTGGAGAAGATTTGAATAGCGAAATTAGATCAGAGCATTTTTGTTTACTGATGGTGAAACCTGATCTAGGGCAGGAGCTGTACCCATTGGAACTGGGTCATTAGCAGACAATGGAAATGGTCGAAATAATTTTTATTGATTAAAACTTGGAATAGAGCTGAGTAAGCAAGGATGACCTTTTGAATTCACATGATTTTAGTTGAAACAGCCAAAACCCCGTGATAATCACGTGCGAAGGAGTAGGGCCAAGGTTCAGTTGTAACGAGCCGGATTTTTCTATATAAATGCATTATGCTGAAGAAGAGACAGATGGAAGAGAGGGACGGAAGAAGCAGAAGGAAGAGAATTAGCCCGGGCAAGAGTTGGGCTAGAGACAGTAGAGAGTCGAGTTGAAGACTCAAGAAGGAGAGAATGTCACGTCAGAGATTGGAATGAAGCGTCCGCTAGCATGTGCTGTTGATATAATTACCACTGCTTCTGGTACCATGAATATTACTACTACTGTTACTACTGCTAAGGAGGAATGCCACTATAAACTTTAAGTGGGGCACAGAAATCTTATTCCCCCATCACAAGAGTCGTATATCGTTCTGAAACGATTTAATAACAAGTTAATCATAACACACACTCTCTCTGTCCAGAATCCAGGGTATGCGTTTTTACATCAATTACTTTTCTTTTCTGTAACCCGTTTCTTTTCTATACTATTCTTTTCTGCTATATAATAGACATTAACAATTCAATCATTGAATAGTTGTTTGTCTGGCTTTTTGCAGATATTAATTTTTTTTTTTTTTTTGCTGCATTCTAAATTTCTTAGCACAGACTCCAGTCGTGTCTACATCTTCAGTCGACCGTGAATGGATGAACATCACCTTCTGGATCCAGATACGGGACCCAAAAGAAGAGGTGGAAGAGGACTGGAAGACTGAAGCAGTTCCCAATAGGAGAGCCTGGGATCTGCATTATGGGTTTCACAAGCCCACACCTGGCTGATAAGAGCTGGTGTGCTGGACTTGCAAGTATGGTGGGCATCAGGCCCGCAACTGTCCGACAAACTATGGAGGCGACCCAAGGTCTTTGGGGCTGAACTGCATGCTCAGTGGTGTACGGCAGAGGGAGACCGTAAACTGGGAATAAAGCAAGTTAATACGCTGGTGCCCCCTACTGAGAAGGAAAAGGGTCCGTGAAACGCCGATGAGTCACCCGTGAAAAAGTAAGAGGCAGGGTGGCCCCAGTGCAAGTAAGACCTCTGAGTTGCTGGACATGTGGTGCGGTCGGGCACTTTTCGGCAAGTTGTAAGGAGTGAAGATGTTGGTGCTGTGGAGGAGCGGGTCACCTGAGACGAACCTGTCCTCGCAGGAGAAAAATGGACCACACTGAACAGAACAACCCTAACTCAAATAGAGGGGAGAAATGGGTTGCTAGTCTGAGAAAAGAGGGTCATCCGAGAGTCATCCAGGAGGGCCCCTAGACAGAAATGGGTGCCCCTAGAAAAAGTTGAACTCCTGTCACCGACTCCAACGTCTCAGTTGTCGAGAAAGCGAGAGGAAGGGAGAGAACATACAGGAAGAAGAAAGGCACAGGTATACCATTTGCTGAAGGAAGGGCCAGACTTCACCTGTAATGTGTTGCTGGGAGACAAGAAGGTGAAGGCCCTTGTCGATACTGGAGCTTCAGTGTCATTGGTTAGCTCCAAGGTTTTTAGACAGTTGGGACTGAAAACGAAACTTAGTCCCGTCAATCTACTAATAAGTCAGGCTGATAGTAGCAGGATGAGGATAGAGGGTATGATGTGGCTACCTTTCCAGTTGGCAAGAACCAGAGGTAAACTTAAGGTTTATGTGACACCTGACTTGTGTGGTGAGCTAATTTTGGGGAGTGACTGGCTTAGGCAGAATAAGACACAGATCCATTTCAATCCCGCCACCCTGACATTGGACAGGGTAGGGATACTGTTGGGAGAGGATAATTATGAACAATTGCTAGTGGTGGCCCAGACAGATATAAAGCATCCCCCTAGAACTACTGTTTCTGGGAAGGGCAAGATTATAACAGAAGGAATGCTGAACGGTGACCTGCACCAAGTGGTCCCTACTGATAGCTATGATAATAGTGAAGGGGAAATAACTATGTGTGATTTGTTGGTGAAGAGGTTGGGGACCGTTGACTTACTGTTAACCAATACTGCCAATAAAACTATTAAAATAAAGCAGGGAGAGGAGCTGGCACAGGTGTGCCCAGTGAGAGGAGTCGAAAAGGTGAGAGTATGGAATGAGAATAGGCCTGAAAATAAGACAGGTAGCAATGAAATAAGGGATGAAGATATAACAGCTCCTGAGCATTATAAGAGGAAATTGAGGGGGTTGCTGAACAGTAATCAGGAGGTAATAGACATAACGGATAAGGAACTGGGACAGACGGGGAAAGTTGGAATGAAGATAGACACAGGCAATCACCCACCTATTAAGTTAAGACCGTATAGGACCCCAATCCACAAAAGAAAATTAGTAGAGCACACAGTGAATGAAATGATGGGATTAGGGATAATCAAAAGATCCAAATCTCCCTGGAGTTTTCGAATAGTAATTGTTGAAAAGAAGGATGGAGGGCATAGGTTTTGTGTGGATTTTCATCAATTAAATGCCATTATGAAACAGCTGGCAGTTCCCCTCCCCTTGATTGATGATATTCTAGCTCTTTTAGGAAAGTCTAAATGTTTTTCCACCTTGGATTTGAGGGCAGGATATTGGCAGGTAGCACTTAGCAAAAAGGATCAGGAGAAGACTGCTTTTAGCTGCCACATGGGTCTCTTCAATTTTAGAGTTGTACCGTTTGGGCTGGCAAATGCCCCGAGTGTATTTAGTGAGTTAATGTCCATCGTATTGAATGGCACTGAGGCATTTGCCATGGCGTATCTAGATGACATCATGGTGTTTTCAAAATCACCGGAGGAGCATTTTGAACATCTGCAGAAGGTGTTCGATAGGTTAAGAGAACATGGATTAAAGTTAAAATTATCGAAGTGTCAGTTTATGAAAGAAGAGACAAAGTACTTAGAGTTTATCATAAACAAAGAAGGAATAAAAACAGATTTAGACAAAGTAGAGGTTATAAGAGCCATGCCCGCACCGAAGACCATAAGAGAGATTATTGGAGCCATCGGATATTACTGGAGGTTCATACCAGCATTTAGTCGGCTAGCAGGCCCTCTAATAGCTCTAACTAAGAAGCATGCTAGGTTTAAGTGGACCGAGGATTGTCAGCGTGCATTCGAGGCTCTAAAGGACCAGCTGACAGCTGTACCCCTGTTGGCCTACCCAGACCTGAGTAAGCCCATGGTGCTGTACACTGATGCTAGCGATAAGTGTATCGGGGCAGTTCTTACAAAACCATGTCCCGATAAGGATGGACCAGTACCTGAGGAAGTGCCGATCTATTTTCTGTCTCATCGGCTCTCCGAGACTCAGCAAAGGTGGCCAGTAATAGAAAAAGAGGCATTCACCATTCTGTGTGCTGTGCAGAAATTAGATTATTATTTGAGTGGGGCTGTGTTTACCATTAAAACAGACCACCAACCCCTCAAATATCTGTTAGAGGCGAAGTGGACGAATAAGAAGATACTTACATTACATTACTTACAATAAAAAAAAGGTTATTTCCAACATTAGAATGTTTATTCAAATTTATAGGTGAATTTTTTCTGTTTATTTTCTGATTTTATTGATTCTGCGGGTATTACCCCCAATTGGTGTGTTAAGATGAAAACATGTTTTTATTTTAAACAATGAAAGATTTGTTTATTTGTTCATCATTTACATATGAAAATTTTGGTTGCCATTGCTTTTAGTTGATCTTGAAGCAATGACTGCAACAATCCTATAAATTTTGACATATTGTATATTATAAATAAAATTACCCATTCTGGATTGCTCTTTTTCTAAAAACATTCAATATTTATGAAAAAACATACCTGGCAAATAAAATTTCTTTTGTTCCTTGTTTGATTACTGATGCTACTTTATCAATGTCTTCTGTCAATAGTGAACTGTTAACTGCAATTCGGATACTGAAGAAATAAATATATTAGTAAAACAACAGAATGAGTAAAAAATATGCACTATTTGAAAATATTATCTAGCATTAAATGAATAAAAATTACTTGAATAACTTATTTTGGGGCTGTGCACAATGTATACTTGACATTGCAATTAAAGAGAAATACTGTTGTAGATTGTTTCCTATAATAAACAAATTAAACAATTTCGGTTCATCTTAACAGATCCACTGAGTTCAAAAAAAGAGAATCATTCTATCCAAAATATTTTATTAACATTCAGTTCAAACTTTAACAATTTTCCCAAAGGAAAATAAACATTTTTTTGATAAGTTCACATCATAATATTTATCTGAAATTCTGAGATGAGACATTATTATACACAGGATGTTATTTTTAGTGGATGCCTGTATTTGTGTAGATGCTCTGTTTATTTATTAAACAATATATTTATTTTATTTTCATCTACCGGACTGAACATTCAGATCTAACAATGGCTTCTTTTAGGTGGACACAAGTTCAAATTCTGTCAGAGAGTGCATATTTTTCTTCAGTAAGATTTCTCAAACTTTTAGGCCAGTAGATGAAAACAAAATAAATTTACTGTTTAATAAATAAACAGAGCCTCTACTAAAATATGGGTATCCACTAAAAATAAAATCTATGTTTGAGACTGATATAACCTAATGTTATTAAGTGCAGAGTTTTACTCATTTTGTTTAAGAAATCAGATATTTTCTGCTTATTTAAATTTATATTTTTTTGTAAAATATAGTACAAAATATTAAAGACAATAGAATTTACAAATGCATGTAAATTAACAAAATTATTTCAATAAATATGAAAATTGGTTGCTAGATACATTTATATCAAGATTGAAGACTGTAGCTCGGTATTTTTAGACTCTTTTAATGTATGTTCTGCCACAGAATGATTATCAGCATTTCAATGTGTTTTAAAGTTTACTAAAATCCAAAATGTAAAAAATTATTTTATTTGAATAAATAAATCTGAAATACTTTCCAGTGAAGTCAAATTTAAAGTTGAGAATTAAAATGCTGATTTTCAAGGTAGGCAGGCAGGCATTCCGCCTTCATTAGTACAATTGATAGATGCAACACAATTTTTCTACCTTTTATCTCCTTTACATTTGTTTTTGTGCTGGAATAACCTAAGCTCATAAAATATCTATAAGAGCACATGTTTGTCAATTGTCTACTGAAAACTCTTACCTTGGTTCTGGTAAAATGTGTTCTAAATTACTAAGATAATTAGCCATGGTTAAAGCAATCCCTTCTTTTTGTGCCTGCAAACAACACAAAATATAAAATGAGAGAAAATTGTTCAGCTATTGAAATCTATGTGAAAAGTAATGATGGTAGAAATTAGAGTAGATAGAAAAAATTCAAAGCAGACCAAAAGAAAATTATTATTTTTAATTTTATCATACAGAGCATTGTGAATCATTATTATTAATTTCTGACAAATATTTTTTTTCATCTTATTTTTTTTAATTGGTTTCTATTGCAACATTAGTCAGGTGGTTACTTTTATGGCAATGAGCCAACAAGAGAAAAGAGAAATAAAGGATAAGTCTTTATTGAGAATTGAAGAGACATAAACTAGACAAAAAGGTACCAGAGATAGTTGAAAATCAAATTTAAATTCTTATGGGTGCTGAGGCTCTTTGGCACAGTAACATGTTAATAAAGACATTTTGCTTTCAAGGAAGGTCACATAGGTGCATTACAATAACTGAAATCATTTTAGCTTTTACATCACTGAAATGCAAAGATAATATATTGCTTGAATTAGTTTGCTAATTGCATTTTGCTATTGCTAAAATAACTAGTCTGTCTAAAGTTATTAAGCAAATCACATAAATCGTGATAACTCAAAATTGCTTTGAAAAATTTTTGCCAAATTTTAAATGATTAATTTAGACATCAAAACAAAGCTTGATTTATTATAAAAATGCAGTCTGAAGTTATTATACAAAATGAGAAAATCACTTTTTACTACAATAAAATCATCAACAATTGATCAACATCTATAATTGAATGAACAACAAACATATAAGATTTTTGAAAAATTTACATCTTAATATAGTGATCCTTCTTCTCAATAACAGCCAGCAATCATTGATTTTGTTAGTTTTATTACTCCAGCAGGTTCAATTTCTGACATGGTGGTTTTAATTATTTCCCATATGTCTGCTTTGCCACCTTCATATAATTTCATCTTTAAAATTGACTAAAGATTTTTGATCTCCTTTAACCTTTTTCATTCAAAACATTCACAGGTAACCTTGGATGCATAAGAAGGAACATTTTTGTGTATAAATACATACTTCACTTTGCACCATTCAAAGAAAGTCTTGTTCATGAACTCACAATAGTTAGTACCATTCAGTTTAACTACTTCATCAATATTGAATGGTTCAATAATGGTTTAGTTGACAATTCCAGCTCATATCATCACAGTGTCATCTTGCTGCCTTCTTTTACCCACAGGCACATCTACATCAGATAAAATCCATCCTTTGGCCCATCTATCAGGTCCATCGAGTGTCACTGGAGATTTATCTTTGAAATGTGTCACTGTAGAATCTAGAAAAATCAATTTGCATGCATTTCTTGGTCCAATTTTGACACTTTAAAATATGAGAAGAGTTTGTCTAGGAGAAAGATCCCAATTTGCAAAATATTCTATACCTTTTGTCCTTGATTCCCTCAATAACAGCCTGTTCAAAGATCAAAAGTGGTTGTTTCCTTATAATTCACTCTAGTTCATATTCTCCTTGAGGAGAAAAGTTCTTAAAGCCTTTTCCTTTGTCTCTAGTTCTCAACTTATTTATATTTTCAACAGCCCTCTTTATCATTTGATGATCTCAGTGAATCTCCTTTGATATCTCCAATGTGGACATCCCCTCATTCAGTAACTTTGTTATTTTCTGTTTTTCAGTATTTATTAGGTCATTTCCATTACCCACATATCAAACTATATCATAGAAAAAAATTTTAAAAAATACTATTTATTAGATTTCAGAATACTTAAACTAATATCAGTTTAGTCTGCATAACTTCAAACTGCAGATTTTATAATGAATCTAATGACTTTAATAAAACAGGTTGAAACTGCTTCAAGAATTAACTGAAGCTTTGTTTTGATGTCTAAATTAATCATTTAAAATTTTTCAGTGCAAATGTTACTCAGTGTGACTGAGGTTTGTGCAATTTACATAACATCAGACAAACTGTATATTTCCTAAAATTTTTACTGAAAGAACATTCAGTTTTGTAGTTTTGTGGAGTTATCACAGAGATATCTCAGCCACAACCATATGCAAAGACTACTTCTTCAAGCATTAACTGAATTTTCATTCACAACTAGTGACTTATAGTATTCAAAACATTGTCTTTTTAGTTTTCTATTTGTGACATTTCCATAGCTAAAAGAATAATTTATTTATAGAGATCATTATCAGATTTAATTTGTAAACATATGAAGAAAATGTTATTTTTTTTTTTTTACAAAAACAAAATCTTTGGATTTTTATATAATCTTTGCTAAATTGAACAATACTATGAAAATTACTTTACCATGCCATGAAAAAAATGATAGCAATTTTTTTTTTAAGATATTTAAAAAATACAACATAATTAAAAATTACTATCCATGCTAAAATTATCTTGTGGTTAAAAAGAATTTAAAACAAATTATAGTGTTTTATTTGTCAAGTTTAAAATAACAAAAAATTTTATTTCCACTACATCAAGAGTCCACTACATATCTATGTAGTGTACTTTTCTGGTGATGTAGAGGACAGTTAGAGAAAGAAAAAATATATGAATATATTTTTATGCTTTTATGCTTTGCCATATGTGAATGGTAAAGCAAATATTCTGATAAATTCCAAAACAAATATTTATCAATTGAATACAAAGTTAAAATATTCCTACACTGAATTTCTAATGATAAACCTATAAGAGAGAATTTTTAAAATTAACTAAATTACATACAAAATCCACAATTTTTTGTAACTTGTCAACATTTTCTTGTCTATCATCACTTGGTTCGGCAAGACGTAAATGTTTCACTGGAGATAAAGACAAACCATTCAACACCAAACCATCAATTCTGAAATTGAGCAAATAAGGAAATAAAGAATATTAATTACCATCAAAATAATTATCCACAATTATCTATTAATATTTTAAACCAGTTACTTTATCATTAGGATTTTTTCATTTTAATACCTTGTTTGTTAAGCACTTTCTGCTTTGATTCCAGTTCTCAGTAGAACATTACATTTCAATGTTGTTTTTACTATTAACCAATTACAACCATAAAATATCACATACTCTATGCAGCCTGTGCTGTTTCTTATTTTATTTTCCACACACACATACACACAATAAAAGTTAATTCACACCACATGTATCAAAAAATACAATTGTGTGGGAATTCACTCCTTACCATGCCCTGTGGGGGTCAAAAACAAGGACGGCGCACCCAAAAGTTCGGACGTAGTGAAAAGCACACCACGTGGTCAAAAATATGATTTATTGACCAATCAGGGCTCGACATAAGAAACCCATTTCTTAATCTCCCCGGAGCCTCATCATTCTTATATAAGGAAGGTAGAAACTCTCATCAGAACGGAGAGAGAACAGCGACAAGCTGACATCAAAGCGACACGGACAGTTTCGAGCACACACACACAGAGAATTCAGCAGTTCACACAACAGGCAGTATAACGTATCAGTGAACATTCTTTCCCCCTCTCTTTCTCTCATCTCGCTCACTACACATAGTCCTACCTTTCCCTCTCACATTCCCAGTTCCTTTCTTTCTCTTTTTCTTCCACAGCTTTACGGACAATTTCATTTTTGTACAAGAAAAAAAATAATTCTTTACAAAAATAAACAAAAGTTTATTTTACTTTATTTGTAGTGCATTTTCTTTTTATTATTTGTTTGAGGGACTTCTTTGCACCCTCTACAAGCCTAATGATATAGCCATAAGGTCATATTTGTTTTCATTTTTATATGTATATCCTCAAAAACAAAACTTCCAAACTTCCATTCCATACTAACATCAATAATGATATTTCTCTTTTACTTGACAAATTTCACAAATAAAAACAACTCTTGAAAGTAAGGTTTTAACATTCATATGGATTAATTGCTAAAACTATGAATCCTTTTCATTGATATTCTACTAGATTCAAAATAATGAATCATATATTCATTGCATTTATAAAATACTTAGAATTAATAACTTATACTGACATTAAAGAATGCTTTCATATCCTTTGTAATTTCTGCTTTAGTCAACAAAAAACACATTATCTATATGCATGTATCATTATTTAATTATTAGCAACTTCCAAATTACATAGTTGATGGACTATACAATTAAACAATAATAATTATTTTAACACATTTACAAAAAGTTCTAAGTCAACCCCTTAATAAATTCATTGTACCACACAATAACCACAAAGAAACGAAGAAGCTTGTAAAAATATCATCTACTCCAAGAAAAACTTTCATTTTCTTATGATCTCTCTCAACTTTAATGGTCCACCAAAACTCCCTTTTAAAGTAGTGTGCTAATTTTCTTGTCACTAAAGAAAATGTATCTAAGCAAACACTAAATTCTTATACTGAGCAGGCTGTCTACTTGGATATCAAAAACACTAAATAAATAGCTGAATAGAAAACATTAAAATACAATTTAAAATATTCTAATGATAGCCACAAATCTGGACAAAATTTATTGACAGTCATATGTGAATTTTGAACATGCTTTATATTCACTTCCACATTAATTTGGAAACTGAACACTTTGCATTCATGTCCTTTGTGATTATTTTTCAATTAAACATTTATGGGAAAATGTGTTGCTTCACTACAGATATAAATAAATAAAATAAATATATCTGTAAAAAGTCAGTATAAATAAGGACAAAAAAAAACTTTACCAACATGTTTCATCCCCTGAAGAACTGATAGAGTAAATTCCCTCAGGAGATGAAACATATTTGTTAAAAAAAGTTTTCCTTTTGTCTTTATTCATAAGAGAGAAATATAAAGGTGATTCAAATTGTCATTCAGAAGTTAAATTTATTCTGGATATATGTTATCACTGATCTGTGGTCTGATATTACTGTATCAAATACAGCCTGAATCATGAAGCTTGTATGATGATTAAGTTGGGTGAACTTTATTGTACTTGTTTTGCTGCCATCACATCCATGAGCTGGTCATGAAGAGTATCTTCAAAGAATGTTTCTATGGATCATCAAGTAGTATAAATATGAAAATATTTGAAAAATTCCAAAAATGTTAGAATTCAATCAGTAAAAATATATAACCATACGAGATGACAAAGAGGCTGTTCAAGAGTTTCTAGAAAACTAACAGGTTAAAATTGCTGAATATTTTAAAGACGTATTGAAAAATACAAGTCATCCACAGTAAGACAACAGAAAGTTTTTACAACTGTTGCTCTTTTTCAGTGATTGTCTAAAAATAAATTCATATTTAGGACTCCAGGAACTCTCCATCAACTGAGATGGCCATATTTACACTTACAATTGCCCTATTTCATCAACAAATGAAATGAATAAGAAAAATGCCAAGTCTCTAAACTCTACAATAAATCCATTGCTGCTTCTTGATTTCTAGAAATTCTCTTCTGTACTTCCTGTTTTTAAGAATTCAGGTGAACCATCTGATCCTTATAACTACCAGCTTAGTGTTCTACCTATTTTTGGTAAAGTCCTAGATGCTCTAATTGAATTCAAATTGATTAAGTATCTTACCTTGAAGGATCTTCTTTCAGACAAACAATGAATTTTGTTTCTCTAGATCAATTGTTAATGGTTATTACTATCAAGCATTAGATAAGAAGGGTGAAGCTTAGGCCATGCTTTAAATATTCCAAAGGCACTTAACAGGGTTAGGCATACTGCTCTTCTTCACAAGTTGAAAGGTTATGGTTTTTCTGGGCAAATATCTGATTTGATTCAATCTTTCTTAAATTGCGAAATGAAAGTTATCTTGAATGGCCACTCTTCTAGATCTTTTTAATTAATGCAGATATCGCCCAGGGCTCTATCCTTGGACCTACTTTGTTCCTAATTTTCATCAATGACCTTACTGATATCATCAATTCTTGACTAAGTATCTATGCCGATGACACCTATTTACTCCAGTCTTAATGGTAAGTCTGATTGGTTCAATAAAGTCAAATAGGCAACTGATCTTGAAAATGACTTTTAATTTGTTGTTAATTAGAGCAAGAAATACCTTGTTAATTTTAAACAAAACTACTCTCTTTTAATTGTCTTAACCATTTCTGCCTTCCATCAGCATATGGCTGATGCTAACCTCCAGGTGAGTGACTCACTGCACCTCTCAGGCTAACATTTTCCACTGACATGAAGTGGAGTGATTTTTATATTGAATCAACTGCTAGGTCTGCTGCTAAGAAAGTTGGTTCATGATGTCATGCTAGGCAATTTTTCTCCCCAATAACAATTGCACATATCAGGTCATCCCATAAATTGTGTCCGAATTTTGAATAAAGAAAACAAGTGACCAAATGTTACATTTAATTACAGATTCAATCAACAATGTATTTTTCCTGATTATCTATGACTTCCTTCCATCTATTAACAAGCTTACTAATTCCATTACTGTAAAATTCTTTTGGCTTCGATTCGAACAACTCACAAATGTCAGTTTTAACCTCTTCCTGTGTTACAAAAGCTGTTTCTTCCAAATGATTCTGTAAGCTACGAAACAAATGGTAGTCTGAAGGAGCAAGATCAGGAGAATGAGGAATGAAGATGAGGAATTTTCTCCCAATCAAGTTCTTTGATCTTTTGTGACATGATTCTTGCTGTGTGGGGTCCCGCATTGTTCTGATGAAACATCACCCCTTTTCGATTCACTAGAGCAGGTCTTTTTTTCCTCAAAGCTTAGTTCAAATGCTCTAATTGCTTACAGTATATTTGAGCATTAATTGTTGCATTAGGTGGTAAGAATTCAAAGTGGATTATTCCTTGGCGATCCCACCACATTGAAAGAAGAACCTTTTGCCCATGAAGTTCCCTTCTCGGCTGGGGTCCTTCCCCTTTACCAAGCCACTGTCTACGACGCTTAACATTTCAATAAAAGATCCATTTTTCGTCGCCAGTCACAAGTCTATCCAAAAAAGGTGAAACAAGTTGGCAAGAATGGAGAGAAGAGCAGATGTCAACTCAGGATTTGAGGTTGTTTTCAGACAATTCATGAGGCACCCATTTTCCAAGTTTAGGAACTTTTCCAAGTTGTTGAAGACGATGATGAACAGTTGTATGGTTTGAACTGAGAACCACTGCCAATTCCTCAACTGATAAAGCAGGGCTGCTTCAAGAATCATTTCATCAAACTCGACTGGACGTCCGGTTCAATCTTCATCTTCAAGGGTGAAATCTCCACCTCTGAATTTTGCAAACCATCTTATGCAAGTTCTTTCATTCACACATTCCTCTCCATAAACTGAGTGAATGTTTCTAGCCGCTTTGGCTGCTGAGTTTCCTTTCTTGAACTCATAAAGCATTATGTGCCTCAAATGATTCTTGGGTACTTCCATGTTAGCAGGGTTTTAATCAAACAAAATTTTATTTTATTCTCTGAAATAAAATTTGATCAGTTTAAATGCATCTAAACATAAAAATAATGTTCAGCTCCATTAGACATTATAAAATACTCTTTAAATTTTGTTCATTTTAAAAAAAGGTAAAATTCGGACAGAACTTATGGGATGACCTGATACATAGGAGAAACCTCAAGGAATTTAAGTAAAAGAATGAACAGAAAAGGAATCTTTTACAAAACAACACACTCAATGCATTAGTTACTCACCATAATGACTGACCATAATTTTGATTTAAAAATGCTGCTTTAATTAAGAGAAAAAACAATTTACTAAGACAAAAATGTATAGAAAAAGCTTTCATCACTAGATCATTCAGAGTAAATTTACAGCCAGGTTCTTACAAGATTTCACCTTTCTTGGCAGGTCTTCTGTCATCACAATATGGGGAGGCTTAATAATAATAATAATAATAATAATAATAATAATGAGATAGAAACAAAAATAAAAGCATAAAGAAACCAAATAAAATTGGCTAGAGGATATAATCAAACACAGCTAAACAAAAAAAATTAAATTTAAAAAATTTAAACCTTCCAGCATTTTCAGTATTTCCTATTTATGTATAATTATAAGCAACATTTGTGTTTTTATATTCTTCTTCCCCTTCATACAAATATATTTTGTATCAACAAAAACATTAGTCCAATGAAATCCTAAAGTAGTAAATGCATCACACAAAATGATTTTTCCACTTTGTCATTAATTTGCCTAATATATTGTAATAAGATGCCTGCAAAGATTAATTATTATCAAAAAGTGTAAGTAAACAAATCTGAAATCTATTAATTAGCTATTATTATCCAATATCTAAAAACATGTACATTGGTCAAATGCCCCTGCGGTAATGTTCCCAACAAAACCTTTACCAAAAGATGATTCTGAAGTCAAGTATGGTTTTAGAATTGGGACATTATCTCCAATGAACCATCTTTATCTTTTAAAATCAATGATTTGTTTTTTCTAAAGATTTCAGCTAAAAACAATAGATTTTTAATACCATGACTCTTTTCATAGTAACATAAAACATTTATTTGTGAATTTTGATTGAATTAGAGAAAATATAAAATAGTATATTTGAATGAATGCACATGAATAAACAGATATGTAGTGCAATGCAATAAAAATATTTAATAACAGAGAAATATGTGAGTGAATTAATATGAGTGAACATTATTCAAAAATGTCCCAATTTACAGTAGAATAATCCAATACAAATTTTTAGTTGAAAGTAACAGAGAAAAATCAATAAAATTGCTTTGAAATGTCCAACAGAACTTAAATTGTTTGTTTCGCAAACAGCTGAATACAGTCAAAATTATTTATAAAGAAATTATCCTATATGATAAAATGCAAACATTTGAAGGATAATCCATGACAAAATAATGAAATTTCTTTAGCCTCCTTATCTTATCAAATGTCCAATAATAGAATCAGCCATGAATTCATTCATCTAACATTTATATATATTCTGTTTACAAATGTATTAAGGATCACCAAGATAACTTCTCAATTTGTGTTAATGGTAGTAAAATTTTGTGCCATTTTAATTTTGTTCTATCGATTGTAGCTTTTTCTTTTACTGGTGTGATTTCTCTGGGTACTGTACTAATTAATAGGCACATTAAAAAAAGTGTGGAAAATGTAAAAAAAAAATTGTAATGCTTTCAAAACTTTTGGTCTACTTACCCAGTAAGTTTTACATGACAATCTATGCAGGCATTCTGACATTTTTCAACTAAGCCTGGAAGAGAATTTCATCATAAAACACTAGTCATAAAATGCCAAATAAATACAAAAATGTTAGGATTAATTCCAAGCATTCAAATTATTCTTTTTCTAAAATAAACTCTGGTTAAGGAAGTTTTTTGTTCAGTTGTGTGTGAGCATGTTCTGTTTTTAACAAAATGTTTTAAATATATTAATCTGCAAAGGCTAAATTAATCATGAAAATTAGTTATAAGAATTCTGTTAAAGAGTTAATTATGAACATTCTGAAAAAAAGGAAAAGAAAAAGGAAAAAAAGGTAGTGATTAAATCAAATACTAATATAGTATTACTACACATATTTTTATTATTAGTTTCTGAAAAAATGTTTGAAATACAGGCTAAATAGAAAGTTAAATCTTCAGTATATTTACCCCCTAAGCAAATGGTTATATATGCATTCATTTGTTTAAAATGTTATAATATGAAGAAGACTGTAATAGATTTTTCTCAGCATAAGCTGAGTATCATTTGTTTCCCATGAATATATTTCTATCCACTTGAACCGTAACTTATGTTCAATGATGTGCTACTCATAATGATTTCAAGTTGACTCACAAAACTGAGTCCTGATGAAACTCAACTGCCAAACATTTATACATTTTGGCCCTCATTGAAACAGAAGTAGCAGAAAGGGGCATCATAGTAACAGTATTATATGACCTTTGTACCATTATCTAATGCTTCCCTGCTTTTTTAGAGGAGTACAGAAGTCTTTTTTGTATTTACCACTAAAGAGTGTTAGAAACATGCATATGGTAGCACAAGAGAACAAACGAACCAACAAGTACTGCCAGTGAGATGAAAGGAAAAGAATAATATAAAATGTTAATAAAAAATTCTTTGTATTGCTGATACAGAGGATGTGAGCAGAATGTCATTTTGTTGGCAAAGGAAGCAAGCTGGAGAAAGAGTAGAGTTGGTAGGACCTGTATCAGGTTGGTTGACCAAGGTCACTGGTGGTGGCACCAAGAGCTTGCTGGTAACGGATTTATTAAAGCTTGCCTATTCGCTGTGATTGTTTCAGTTATGAGCAGCATTCTTAAAAGCAGATGTGGTGACTTAAACTTTCTTTTCCTGTTTTTTTCTTTAGCAGCAATATTCATGATTGGCTCCTTTATATTGTATTTTATATATTCTGAGAGGATTTGTTTTGTGGGCCAGATGTGATGCCCGAGGCCTCTGCACAGAAGACGACTTTTTTATTTTTGGTTTTGCTTTCTTAGTGTTTACATCTGACCAACAGGTAGAGTGAATCAGAAAGGGACCTAATTTGAAGCAGAGTATCTCAATCAGATTCATAGGTAGCGAGTGGATATGAGCAGAAAGGATGTATGAACATTTCGGCACCCACTTGTATTACTTGTGTGTTTATTCCAAATTCAACATTACTGAACAAATTTATGTATCTTTTGTATCTTTGCAAAAGCATTAAGTTAAAACTCCTGAACACTCTAGTGTGGCTGGTGGCACTGTATTGCTTAAGTGAAGGATGGCTTACCAAACCTTTGTGGGTTATTTAAAACGGAAACATATTTTTGAATTATATAAGGATAATTCTTTTGTTTACAAGTAATATTGCATTAACAATTTCAAGGATAAATATAATTATATAACAATGCAGTCTGTCCTGCTATCTAACCCATAACTGAGGGTAGAAGAGATGGATTCATACCTTTTCTAAGGATAATTGTGCGTAAGTGAAACTAACGAACCCAACTGGAATTCAAGCTCAACTCTTTAATTTCTTATTCTAGTATAGCTGCAAGACCTGGACAATGAAAGCCATTGATGTTAACAAATCAATGACTTTTGAGAAAACATTATGCAGGTGGGCACTGTGCATCAAAACAACTAGATTGGTTCTGGAGGAGATGAGAATAGAGAGGTGGCAGTTGGTCATGACCATACAGAAGTGAAAACTGCAATAAATGGTATGTCTTCAGGGTCCAGGACCTCTGCACCCACATTCTGGAGGGCTGCATTTATGTCAGAAGATTGAAGGAAAGACAAAGGCAACGATAGAATGATGACAGTTGGTAGAGAGAATGTTCGCAGAGTGCAATGTTATGGCAAGTGTAAGGAGACAGTGGGGAGTAACAGTACATTTTTCTATAACCCACAACCATCAACAATGAGTAAGCAACATTTACAATATCAATCACTTTTCATGTATTTCTCTAGCCAACCATTTTTCGCCCGTTTGAGCTGTATTTTTTAATTATATTTTGTCTCTCTTAGTAAAAAAACTCTAAGGGAAGTACTTTTTTAACACTTTGATTGTCCTGTTTATCAAATATTTTATATCAAATACAGTCCTAATTTCTCTGAAGATTCTCTCATTGATGCATTAAGATTCAGGGTCATTAGATATGAAAATAGGAAAAGAGGTATTTTTTCATCTGTTTCTTCTACCTTATATTCATTTAATGTTCTTTCCAATGTATTTCCAAATCTCTATACTTGGCTATTTCAATGAAAGTGGCAGGGCAGCTGTTAATGGTTTGTTAATTACATAAATCCACAGATTCAGCAGAAAAAAAAACCTGATGATCAGTATTGTATGGGATTATTTCAGTGTTTGGGTGTCTGGTAAAAGCACTTAAAAAAAAAGTGTTCAATATATATATATATATATATATATATATATAAATACACACACAGATTTCAGATGATCTTTGTATATGAATCTACAATGTAATACCTGCCATTTATTGGTCCTGCATAATGTAAATGTGTTCTTGACTATGGATTCCTTATCTTTGACAAATGTTGAAACTCAGCAAGAAATGATTCTCTTATAACCATTGGTGCATTTTTTTAGTAGCTTGCTACCATTCTTTCTATATTTTGGTCTATAAATGTATAACCTTGCATTAACAATTTCAGACAGGAAATTCCTAGATAGTCAGAGAGAAACTGTTTGAGTATTTGTCAATGTAGTGCTATTGGGACTGAAAACATTCTGAATACATTAAGCAATTTTCAAAGATGTACAGAGATTTGCTTCTTTTAAAACATTAATCTGAGATCAGTCTTTATTCACCTATCCAACAAAATATTAATTATGACAGACGCTTGAAAATTGAACTCAACAGACATTAGGATTAACAAAGATTCAATGGAACTTCTGGCTCTGGTTGTTCATAAGATAATGCTTGTATGTTTACAATACCAGAGAAAGATTTTTACCACACACTGACTGAAGTTTATTGATTAATGAAGTAATCAAGGTTTTAGAAATGTAAGCTATTGAAAAGACAGTTTAAATCATATTTTTCTTTTTAAACCTAGATTTTATTGAAATAGAAGAAAGAGTTTTAATTAACAAGAGGATAAAAATGTACAAAACTAAATTTTTCAATTATATGTTTCAAGAGATTTCTCTAAAAATAAATGTGTGACTAAATTGATTGTAGTTGAAGTAAAAAAAAGGAGAGAGAAAATAATTTTTACTTACTGGAGAAAAGAATAAAAATGTCTTAACTGAACAGAGTATCTGATTAAATCCTTTCCACTGATGGAAGAAGACATTATGAACTGTGGGTAAGAAGGCAGAATAAAGAGCCAGAAGGGAAAAAGGAATCTTTTCATGGATGTCCTATTGTTGTGTTGGAATGACATTTTGGAGGAACAGCTCATGAAACAGACCAGAGGCAAGTGGGAGAGAAAAAAGTTACAATGATGACTAGTTGAAGGAATTGACAAATTTAGTAAAAGGGCTGGACAAAGGTACATTATTTTCTATTCACAGCACAGATAAAGGCACTGAGTGTGAGTTTGATTCTTTTGTTCTTGAGCACAAACTACAAGTTATTTCAGGCCATTTAGCAACAAGATGAAAAGATAAATTTTCACTTGGTGCTGGCATAGTGAAGTCATTTACTGGTGATGGCAATGCATGGCTAATAAAGGTTAGTTTAGAACTGTGGAAAAATCATCAATTTGGCAAATCCAATGCTGTTATTTAAGTGAAGGAGATGCTGTAGAGCTCTATCTTTGATTGAATATAAAATAAAGAGTGCATTCATAGAAGGTGCATTTGTGACCTATGAAAAGCTAACAGGAATCAAATCGACTTGGGAATCAGTCACTATTTATGCCAACAGCATTAGAAGGTTGGCTAGATTACCAGGACTCATGGACAGGGATTTTAAATAGGTCATTAAATTGACTTTTGTTACTGGGTTTCTGAGTGACATCAACAGCCCTTCAGCAACTGACTGGTACTGAAAACATGAAAATGAGGGATTTGCTAGTGAGCACAAGAGTCTTTTGTTAATAGGGCATGTGAATTGGTTGTGGTAGCAACCACAAAAGGAGGCTCAGTGCAATCTGGGATATTCAGTGACCAGTGCTTTAGGTGTAAGGGGCCTCACATGATCAAAGATTGTAAAGAATCACTTTGGCAAGACCTAATCTGTTACAGGTGTGGCAAGTCAGTCCACATTGCTCAATATTGCCATAAAGGAAAAGTGGAGTTACTGTGCCAGTAGCTATAACCCCACAAACCAGCAGTGACACACTACCAACAATTGGCAACTATGGAACTTTAATCTGGTGCTCTGTGGTCTGACACTTTTAAATCACCTGCTATTAGTTCATTGAGTGGCCACAAGGATAGTGCCACATATTGTTTACAACTTTCCACAGCAGCAAAGTGTTTTGATGGTACACTCTTGCGCATTTCTTATATATAGCTGCATATGTACCCATTCAGGATGCCACCCAAGAGAGCAGGACTTGTAGTTGATGGTACTAGAAGTCTGAAAAGTAAGCATAAATCTTTATCTATTCTTGAAAAGGTTGAGTTACCAAATATATTATAGAAAGAAATGTCAGCAATATATTTGTAAAATCAGCTGGCAGTACTATGTTTACATCTGTTTTTCTAGAGGTGATTTCTGTCATCCAGCATTTTCTGTGGTCCAGCAGTGGCCTGGTCTCAAGGGTGCCAGATTAAAGAGGTCGAACTGTAATGGTTGGAGACAATTCACAGAGTATGCTTAAAAGCAAATGTTATAATAGTTGACAACATTATCAAAGGCATCAACTCATTACTTTGAGAATTCAATTCAAAGGTACTACAGAAATTATCATAAAGAGGCAGCCTGGAATTCTTGGGGAACTAATGGCAGAGTTTAGCCTAAAGCTGTGGGTGAATTTTGAGCTATCTGAGGTGGACACCCAGACACAAGTAAAAAAGAAATAGTTAAAGGTGACAGAGGAAAAAGAAGTGGGCTTATGAAGGCTACACAGAAGTTAAGAAGTTATATGGCATACATGACACGAGGGTTTGCTAAACACTATTTTTTGGTGCAGAAGATAGATCTGGACATCACTAGAGAGACCGTTCAAAATATGGTCAGAAACTGCCACCAGCGCAGTGCCAGTTTATTTATCCTACTCCAAGCCTGCACTAAACTGGAGAAATCCTAGTGAAGACCAATTGAGTAAGGTTGATTTGATGTAACTCACTATAGAAGAAGCTTATAAGTCTTTAATGGTTGACTGTGAACCTGTTCAGTTCACTATCTGGATGGAAATTCAGACTGAGATGGCAATCATGATCGGGGAAGGTGTTGAAGGAGTTTTTGGGGTTTTTTTTTTAAAGGGTACTAGTGAAAGACAGCTTTTCACAGTTGCCACAGAGTTAGTGAAAAAATGAAATATAAGGAATATTTTAGAGCAGCTTATAGGCCTAGTGGAAATAGGAAATGGCATTGTAGAACAACATCACAGTACAATAAAAGAGATTTTGCCTGTTAAGGACATCATTTGGTACATGTCACTAAGGTCTGGCCAAGTAAAGGAGGTTAGCTACAATTGGAGGCATCCAAAGACTATACAAACGAGTGAGGAGGGAGAGATACTTGCCTCAGTTCAAATCAGGAAGGAGATTTAGGTCAAGCCATTTGGTGTCTGATACATAATGTAATGGGAGAGGGGCATAGTGACTAGGGTGCAGTAAGCAAATAATGTATATGTTGACAGTGTGCTTCAATATATCTAGCCGTTAGACAGGTGACATGCCCTTCAGATGAAGAGGCATACCCTGAGGAATTGGTGCAGAGATCACAGTGGGAAGGGCAACCAACCTATTGGTCATGTGATTATGTAATATAAGGTGAGAATGATCTGAGAGATCAGGGAGGGACATTTAGTTAAAGAAAAAAAGGAAAATAATTTTTACTTACCCAGAGAAAAGAATAGAAAAGTCTTAACTAAACAATATCTGATTAAATACATTCCACTGATGGAAGGAAGTATTATGAACTGTGGGTAAGCAGGCAGCATAAAAAGCCAGTTGGGAGAGAGGCACTTTCATTTGGATGTCCTGTTGTTGTGTTGGGATGACATTTTTGGGGGACAACTCATGAAACAGACCAGAGGCAAGTGGGAGAGGAGAAAGTTATAATGATGACTAGTCAAAGGAAGTGACAAATTTAGTAAAAGATCTGAACAAAGGTTCAGAAACTTCCCTGCCTGCAGTACAGTTAAAGGCACTGAGAGTGAGTAGGATTCTTTCATTCTCAACTACTAACTATATTAATTTAATCCTAATCAATATGTTTTCACTTAGAATTGCATCAACATTTATTTTCCCTATAGGGCAATATTATAGTTATTAAGATAACATTTGAAAACAATTTAACCTTTACAAATGATACTCATGATATAATAATCCAGAATGAGATTATCTGTTAATCCAAATTAAATACTAATAACCATATTGTAAAATACAACTAAAATGTACTGTTGTTTTTACTTACTTGTATCTTGTTCTAATATATTTATGGCTTGTATAGCTGTAGCAACACAGAGTGGTGGCTGGGAAGCTGAAAAGGCATAACCAAGGCTACCCATTCTCTGCAAATATTAGAGCAGACAAAGAAAATCATTAAAAAAGCATCCTCTTGTTAAATTTTAAACATAATATATTTACACTGTAATCCTTTGTTTTTATATGTTTTATTGAATAGAATGTTTGTGAAGCTTTTTGATGAGTTTGAAAACTTGTGTAGATTAAGTGTAAATATTACTTTTGACTATCATTGGTAAATTTCAAGTAGGAAGATATCAAGAGTGGCTGTTAACTGTCCTGAATTTGAAATGAATACCGGCTTACTGCTATTAGACTTTAACATCATGTGGCTAAAATGAACTTAGGGTTCAAAGGCATTTTAACAATTACATATCAACATTGAAATAAATTTTAATTGATTGTTGCTCCCTCTCTCCCGTTGAGTTTGACGTATGAGGTTCTGACGAACACAAACTAATTATCTGCATACCTATGACAGGCATGACTTTTGAGACTGGCTTGAGAATTGCACAAATGACCACAAACAGTACAGGAGAATGCATTGTATCCAAGTGCAGCAGGAACACTGTTAGATGTCTTAATCTGCTCTTGTGTTTCACGCAGTTGAATGATGCTTACTTCTTGATGGTGCATTATTCCTGCATGGTAGCTAGAACGATACTCTGATCTCTTCATAGCTACCTCTTCAAAGTTCTTGAATGGAATGTTGATGAAAGAAATGTTGCTCTTCAGTTTATCTTTATATCTGAGCCAACGTCTAACAACATTTCTATAACCACTATGGAGTTCACTGTGGAAAAGAACTTTTGGTATGCGATCATCACTCATCCTTGCTACATCATGGCCAGCCCAACATAGTTGTGATTGCATTATCAAGGTCTTGATGGTACCAATCTTGCATTTCTCAAAAAGGTTGGCATTTGACACTCAATCATCAAACATTAGGCCACAGATTGTACAGAGACAGCCTTTATGGAAGACATCTAATCAATTAGTATGCCATCTATAAAGGTGCCCAAGTTTCAGAACCATATAAAAGAGTTGACAAAACTACAGCTTTGTACATTTGGATTTTAATGCAAAGTTTTATTCTCCTTTTCACAACCTATGATGTAGTGAACCAAAGGAAGCTCTGACTTTTGCAATGCGATTAACAATTTTGTCATCAAATGATGCATTTGAATTTACCATGTTCCTGAGGTATTTGAAAGATTCCACATATGTGAGATTCTTTCTATCAACTTGTAAAGGGATCTCAGGAAACTTATGAACATGGTGTCTCTGTTTTACACTTCTAATTTGCTTCGGTGTCGGGCAAGGTTGATGAATAACTTCAGTGCTCTTGATGCTGATGGTAAGTCCAAATGCCTTGCATGCCACAGAAAACTGGTTGAGTAAATCTTGAGCTTCCTCTAAAGAGTTAGCTACAAACAAAACATGTTTGTAGTGGCCATTTCTCAATCTATATTTCATCACAATAAAGTCAAATATGAATAAAATCATTTAAAATGATATAACTGATAGCAGTAAATAAAGATGTAATTTCAGTGAAGGAACTTAAAAATCTCACCTGATGCCACATTATCCAACTTTTGCCCATTGAGATGCCACCAACACTTGCAAAAGAATTTTCCAACGATGCAGACATAATATCAACTGCATCCAGCTGAGAATAAGATGCAGAAATCAATTTTTAAATAAATCCATTTCAAAAGTCTTTCCTGCATAAATTTGTTAAAAGAGTTAATCATTTAGATTTCTCCAAAATTTCCATCAATAGAATTGTAAAAAAAATTCAATCAGTTTATTTTAAATAAAATCTGTTTTAAAGATTTTTCATGTCACTTTTATAACAAATATTATTTTCAATGTTATTCCAAGAGCAAGATTCCAAGATAGTTTTCCTGCTTTTTTTTAACTCAAGAAAGGATTAAAACTACTGCCAAAATGCCAGATTTCAAAAGATGAATATCACAATATCTCGCCATGCAATCCTCCTAAAAAGTTCAACCATGAAGATCTGTGCAAATCTAAGCTGAACAATTAAAATACCAAAATAAAAAATATATATAAAAAGTAACCCACACCAGTTTTTCATCTCAGCTGAGTAAACATATTGACTTATAATAAATATTACAGTCTTGTTTTTCCTTTTAGTTTTAAAATATCCAATCTCATACAACTGTAATAAAAAAAATCTTATTCTAAAGTATATTTTTTTTATAAATTCCCTTAAGTATTTGAAAACATACTACATTTAATATAACTTATTAGAAGCTTGAAAATCTTTAAAACTGTTGTGTGTGGCTCAGTGTTTTTGTGCATGAGATTAAATAAAGAAAACAATTCACTTACAGTAAGTCCAAAATGTTCTGTCAGTCCTCTGCCAGTTTTTCCCAGCACTCCTAAACTGATACTTTCATCAAGGATTATTCGAGCTTTGTACTTATTACGCAGCCTTATAATCTTTGGTAGTGGACATATGTCCCCAATATTTGCATAAATTGCTTCAACTGTTATGTATTTGCGAGTACATTTAGCTTTCTTAGGATTCTGATAAAAATAAAATGGAAACAAATGATTTCAGAAAAATATCAGATTTCCTGACACAGAGATATTATTGTTTGAATCAATGCAACATATACACAACCAACTGAATAAAAATAATGCTAATATGATTTTCCAAAAAGAAATTACTAAAATGATCAAAGGAAATATCTTTAACAACAGGAGTTAAATATTTTTATATAAATCTTCAATTACAGAAAAAGGATTTGAGTATTAAATGACAAATAAAGTTTGGTTAACTGTTGTTACTTTTGTTATTCAACATATTATCAAACTATTGATAATAACATCACAGCACTTCAGCCTTCTTCAGGTGCAAATGTTGAAGCTGGTGGTCTATAGAAATTGCTTAGATTTTTTTCTTCATCTTTTCAATAAAAAACTATAGCTTTACAGGTCTATAGAACTGTCAGTCTTGGCAAACAGATTGTGATAAAAAGAAAATATACAAGATTAAATATATTGTGAAGTAATAAATATCTATTGTTTTATTCATCTTTTCAAAAAATACTTCATTACAATGCAAATACTGAAGAACACAAAAGATATACATTTAAATAAGCAAACATTTCTATATTTGTAGTGAGAAAACATTCATGCACACACACGTGTGTGTGTGTATATATATATATATATATATATATATATATATATATATACACACACATTATAAATTAACTGATTTAAAAATACAGTTCCTTCTCTACACAGGAATTGCCAGGTTTCAAAAACCGAAGTTAAAAACTTTGAATTTAATTATGTACTTAAATTAAAAGTATTAGTTCTGTTTCATCATCAAGTGAATTTTTAAATCAGTTAATTTATAATATTTATGCTCTGTAAATTTACAATTATGATTCCAATGTAATAAATTATAACCATGGAATATTAGTGTTTAAGCCTTTTTATTATATTCTTACTCTGACCTGTACATTGAGTTCTACCTGGATTCTATGATTCTATAACTGAACTTGTAGACACCTGAGGGCAAATTGGTACCCGAGGAAAAAATTGGAAGTAAAAAAGGAAAAAGTAAAAACATCAGAACAAGGCAAAACAAATTGTCAAGTGTCTTAAGTCCTTAGTCCAAAGAAAAAAAAACAAGTGAGTTTAAAGACTAAAACGTAGAATGCTCAATACGCTAAGTTAGTAAATTAGAATAAATCCTAACGAGCCAGGCAAACCTACCTATCTTTCACCTAAACAGATCCTCAGGGTAAAATGGCTGAAAATGGAAATAGCGGAATAGTATTTATTGATAAAACCATTAAAAACATAAAACTACATGACAAAAAACAAAATGACGTTTTTTGAAGCTATCTTGGGTAGATCCTATGTAAACTTAGGGGTTCTTGTCAGTGTTATTCGGTTTATTTCTATATATCTCAACTTTGTAAACCACACACTCCTGTTGGCACCTTCCCTCAAGTGGACAGGTGTCCTTATTTCTATACCTAGGTAGGTTTGACTGGCTCATTATGATTTATTCTATACATACACACACATATATATATATATATATATATATATATATATATATATATATATATATATATATATATGTGTGTATCAACTTCTTCCCATAACAACTTCAAAGAAAAATAGATGATTTCCTCATTATATTTCAATTTACTTCCCCTGAGAAAATATCAAAATATCTTTTTGTGGACTTTTTTCCTACTTAAGTAGAATATTCTTCATACCCATTTCGAAAACCTGTTAGCACTAAAGAGATCATGTAAAATATCACTAGAACTTTAGTTACACTAGAATATTCTTCTACAAATATTTCTTTTTTTTATTTTTAAATGTATTAATACACATCACCTACAATAAAATATTAAAATCTCTTTTCACCAACCTATAGACAGTCACTATTATTTAAACTTTGATAGCAACCATCCAACAAATCTAAAAAATACATAATCTTATGCATTAAAAGAATTTGTTACAATATACATGTAGGCCCTACTAATTAACCACTTTCTCAATAGAAGCTACCCACTAAAAATAACCAAAGAATCTATGAAAAAACAAAACCTTACACATGAGAAACAGTTTTTTAGTCTACAAAAACAAAACACAGAGCACATAAATACTCATGGTATTTGATTTTAATCATAATATAAATAAATTGACTTATTTCCTTAGAAGAGACTTCCTAAATCTTCAACTTGATCTTCTAATTAATAACGCAGTGAGCCTTCACTTAGTGCAAGACAAGAACCACACATATTAGTATCACTATTCATATCTTCCAAGCTGAAATGACCAAATACTTTCCAAGATAGTTATACATGCAATAAACCATGATGCCAAATCCATAAACACATTGTCACCGATACAATTTGCCTTCCTCCAAGGACAAAAATTAAAATATACCCCAACCATACTTGTGACTGCTCTAACATAGTTTATTTGATTTTATGCAATTTTTGTGACAGAGGCAATTATGTTGGATCTGAATTTTGTCTCTAATTCAACAATCACAAAAAGACAATTAGGAAAAAATTCTAATTATTCTACTATAGCACAGCATTTCAGCTTACCTAATCATAATATAGACAATGTTAGATGCATCTTTCTAGCCTCTTCCTTTAATTCACAAAACAGCCTGAGAAATGCTGAAACCAATTTCATTATCAAACTTAATACCAACAATTTATCCATCATTCTTATCCTCCTATAATCATATATATCTCCTTTTCTTGCATGTTCCCATATTTTCATCATCATTATTATTATGATAGTTATTAGTACAGTTTTCATTATTATTATTTAATACTCTTCATCGCTTATACTCATATATATACTCTTATTAACCGAGTCATAAGACAAAATGAAAAAGAGTTTTCAACCACACACATCCCCACTTATAGTTGGCACCATCTGACCGAAGTGAGAGACTGACCCTCATGAAGGAAAAGTATGAAGAAGAGACAATAAAATCAAGTTCTGCAACCAAAGGATTCTTGTTCTTGCAATGGGGTCAATAACATCTGCTGAATTTGAAATTCAGTGCAGTTCAAAAAAGACTTCCTTATCAAACACTGACAAAGGCTACAGAAGTTGTAGAAAACATATCAACTAAATAAAAAGCATAAAAAATACACAAAGAATATCTTGGTCATCATTTTTTATATAATATATAAAAAGCATACTCTCCATAAATTTCTCTCTCTCTGTATATATATATATATATATATATATATATATATATATATATATATATATGTGTGTGTGTGTGTGTGTGTGTGCATATATGAGGATGATTCAATAAAAGTAAACAGTTATATGCTGAACTTTTATCTGAAATTTTTACAGTATAATGTTTAATCTCTGTGATTAATGTATAATCAATATGATTAATATTTTCTACTGGATTAAGTGCATTGACAATGAACAAAAAAAGCTAATGTTGAAAAAATATATTTGCTGTTTAAAATAAATTTAGCTACTGACATATTGATGTAGTTCTGTGTACATTTGTATGTGTGTTTAATATTTTTGCTTCATTAATCTATTAGTAACCAGCTTTTGCTTAAGAACCTTGTTTATTCATTCAGCTTCCAGAATAAACTCAAGATTATCAGCTCTCCTGTTTAAAGTAATAATATTTCAAATCTTATAAAATGTTTCCCTTTGATTACTAGTTTTGACATTGTGACTGTTAAGTACAGACAGGATATTTATTTAAAGACAGGATTTTTTGTAAGTAATTTTGAGAATTATTAATAAATAATCTGAAACAATCCTATTATCAGCAATAAAGCAATTTGAATTTTTATTAATGCTTTTCAAATTGTCAAAATTTTACTCCTTTACTGAAATAACAGAGTAAAGAAAAATATGGTAGTTTGATGAGAGAATGCATGAATTCTACCTGTTGATCTCGTTTTTGTTGTTCAATTAAGAGCTCTTCAAGATGATCCATGTCATTATGTCTAAAATAGTAAACAGTGCTACGGGAAGTGCGACATCCTTGAATCATTGGAAAAGAAGCCCCTTCATCACTATAAAAATTTAGAAAAAAATCGTTTAATAAATCACATTTAATAAGTCATGACTTTTGATAAGAAAAGGCATAGATACTTTCAAGTAATAAATTGTTGTAATGCTTTCCAACAAAAAGAAAAAGAATCTTCATATAATATTTTATCTTCTTTATTTGCCAGCATTTATGATAGAGTGAAACAGGAGATAATCCTTATTTTGCAAGTGTGTTATGGAAAAAAGTCTTCAATGGAAATAAAAGATAATTTTCAAAAGAATTTTACAACTTTGTTTCCCACCAGCACCAATTTTAAAAAAGGATAAATTTAGATGCAGCTACTAATTTTATACTTCAATTGAGAATCAAGTTAAATAAAAGAAAATAATCAGTGAAAATAACTGTTTGATTTATTGTGGACAATTTTATATTCAATACAATATGACAAAAATTCATCATCCTGATGAATTCCAGGTGGGGAGGAGTCATAGGATCACTGCACCGCTGAACACCTGACCAGTTCCCTCCATATATCTGGGTTAAAAGTCAGAGAAGTATTCATTCATGTGCAATATGTCTTGGGCAAGTAGACTTGGTAAAGTGGCCCATCACTCTCCAGGTGAAACCACAGCCCCCTTGGTTAACGATATATGACTGATTATTAACGTCAATCCAGTGATGTTGTGGTTGCATAGACATAGCTAGTTCTGGAGCCCAGTTTACCCCATTGTGCAAGATGGTCATTGACCCAATAAGAATGTTCATCCACACTTTGACAGTCCCGTTAAACCTGCTAGGTATTTAAGCACCCTCCTCACCAAAAAAGCTTGAAGATAGGATCCAGTTTAGTTGCCAATGACTTGACCATATGGAGCAGGTAATACTGGTTTACATGGTACCAGTAACACTTGACAAACTTATAAACTAGAAAATTGCAATCACCTAAAAGATTATTAAAAGGAAATAAGGAAGTTCTGTTGAGGCAGATGCATTA